AGTCTCATCCTTTTTTTTGTTTTTCTATTTCTATTTCGTTAAATTCTTTTATTTTGCTTACTAATCAGTTTGTAGGTTTAAGAAATCACCATCCGAACCTCAAGCAAGCTAGGGAGCCGCGGGATGGCCGAGAGGAGACCATCGGGAGCTAAGCCGAGGTTGAATCACTCGCATCGAAGGTAAAATCGTTTGTTTCTGAGGTTTGGGTGATGGTTTGGATGGTGGTAGAACAGGGCTGCTGTCAGGCTAGCTGCGTGGGCTTGGCTGGTCCACCCATCCGCGCGAGAACTGAGAAGGTTTCCTTAGGAATGAGAAAACTTAACCACCATGGAAACCGAAGGTTCTTCTGCAGAAATTGAGGCCGAAATTGCCTTTTTGGATTCCAATTTGTTGTCTGGAAAGTTGAAAAGTCTTCCTTAAAAAATAAAAATCCGATTTACCAAATCGAAAGCTAAAAGTTTTTTTAGGTACGGATCCCGATAATTTTAAGTATTCCATTTGGTGGTCGTTTGAACCCGTAATTCACTTAAATTAATTTTTAGTATTTTGAAATATTTTAATTAGTTTATGTCGTGTGTACAGAGAATTAGGACATTTAGGCAGATCCGAGAAGACACATAGGAGTGTAAGTATTTCTAAATCCCAACCTGATTTGAATTTCAAAAAGTACATTCATTTCATTAAATTGTGAATTTTGAAATTTGAATGAACATTGACCCAATTTTTGATAAAAAATAGAACCCAAACTATGATCAGTAAACCTAAGCAATTGGAACTCTATGAGGACACGAAACTAAAAAGCAGATCAAATGGACTGAGAGTTATTTGAACTGATGAAATACGAAATTGAAAATTAAGAAAAATCCCAATTAAGTGAAAAGATTGGAAAAAAAAAGAGTAGAATAAAAAGGTAAAAATAGAAAGGAAAAAAAATAATTGAGATTGTGAATGATCAATTAAATAAAATTCAGAGAAAAATAGAATAAAAGGTAAGTAGATAAGAATTTTGGAATGAGAGGATAGGAGTGAATAGGGTAGAGACCTTGAATACCTTCTCGTTTAGTTTGAATCGAGGAGGGGATTGTGTATGTGTGGCTGAAGTTTAGCGGGCATGGTGAACCTATACATGGATAAAGTTTGAAACCTAATCCAGATTTGGATAAGTATTTATAAGTGTGGGTCACCTAGCAAACGTACCTGTTGTGGCCATTGTACGATTTGTGTGTATGTGCTATCCATGCGATGGGGGATCCATTTCGCCTTTCCTCGATGACGACATAAACGACATCGCGGGATGAAACCTTAGAAATGACTTTTAGAGTGTATATGTGATCTTTCGTGTGTGTATGATTATGTTTCGAAATGATAGTTGATATTCGAGTGTATCTATGTTCTTTCAAGAGTATGGAGATATACATTCGACATTTGTATATGATATTAGAGAAAATTCAGAAAATCGATCAGAAACATGTGAAATAGTGAAAATAAGAAAATGAATTTTGCACTGAAATATTTTTATTGCTTTTATTTCTTACCATATGTTTTGCATGAAATTTTATCTTGGTTGAGAGAACGAGAATATTTATTGAGTTGGTGAATCTTATTAAATTTTACCCTGATATTTTTCAGAGGAGAATGAAGAGTCAGCATCGCTACCAGACAAGTAGAACCTATAAAAATGTTATTGTTTTTGTATATTTTGTTCATACTCAGAAGTTTTATTTTATTTTGTTAGAATTTAAATTATGACTCTATATTTTGGTATATTTTATTACTGTATATATCACATGAGATGTTATGTTGTATTATATTTTTTATCTATACATGTATGTATTTTATGAACTCATTGCATAAAAATAACATGAACAGAAATTACGTCTCATATCGAACATATGTGTGTGACATATTTTATGGTGTAAATGTGTGGAAGCTTCATTACAACTACTGATTTTCTGTCTTGTACATATTGACAGTATTAGGTGAGAGTGGTGTGGAACAAACTTTTCTCTGATTTTCGGTCTTGTATATGTTGACAGGATTAGGTGAGAGTGGTGTGGAACAAACTTTTCTCCTTAAGGATGTCAACGGGTGAGTGTGAGGTATATTTTGTTTATAAAATATAAATCAATACAAACCTTACTAGATATTATTCCGACCAAAAAATATATTTTGTTCCTTTTAATTTATTTTTTATACAAATTAAATTAGAATAAAAAAAAAGTAAAAAGCCAATAAATTATAATTTATTACGACGAAGAGAGACATGAAAATTATTATTATTAGATTTCCTTAAACATGCGTAAAATTCACTTCTTACTCCATCGCCCAAATTTGGAAATTAGAAAAGAAAAAGAGAAATGTTCATGTTTATCCTTATTGTGAATTTCATGGCAGAGTACAGCATTCAGTCGGTCGTGTCGTCACCATCATTTTCTAATGTGTAAATTAGTATTTTATTATATAATAAATTAATATAATTGGCATTTATTTATTATTTGTTAAATAATATAATTGGTATGGTTATTTGTATAATAAGTTTATTGTTGTTGGCGGTCACGGGCATCGCTAGAAGCTACCACGCACAAGATTAATAATATCCACACGGCGCAGAATGAGGCAGTCTGTACCTTCATCAGTCAAAGTCAACATTTTATGTTTCAAAAAAAAAAAAAAAAAAAAATTTATGGGTTAATTAATTATATGCCAGATTTTTCAGTCTTCTCTTAGCGGTGGCCGCTATCCTCACTCTTGCAAATTTCTATTTTATACTGATTAAAAGTCAGAAGTTTAATGCAGTACCAAAAGATTATATTTTATATCAATATGATATTTTATTCCTTAGAAAAGAAGTATCCATGAAAAATGGTACAATTACCAACAAGTACTCAATTACTTATATCACTAAATTTTTGTTTATACATATTGAATTTGGTTCAATATATATATATTTTTATTATCCTCTAACTCTTAAATTTCAATCATTTGGTCTATAAAAATTAGTCATACACTCAACTCATAGACCCAATTTTCAGCTTAACCAGTTTCAAAGGTCAAAATCTATTTTTAACACATACCCAAAAGTCCACGTTTGAAGGCCCAAAATCTTATTTTATTAAATGTTCATATTTAAGCCCTTTTAGTTAAATTAAGCTTGTGATTTTAACCAATTAAACCTAGGCTCAGTTGTACGACCCACACATTTTAATAGGAAAATGCCCAAAATACTCTTAAGGGTCTCTAGCTTATTTTGGGTATTCAAGAGCACTTATGGGCTTTCTGCATATATTGTATTCGATAAAATTTTTGAACTTTTTGGCATTTTTAGATTTTGTAAATAAAAGAATGTAAATATAACTGTATTGCATAACTTAAAGTTATGATATAATGAAAGGTCGCATTTAATCATTATTGTAATATAAAAAAAATATTGTATTTATATTGTATCATAGTTTTTAAATTCAATCAAACATTTTGTTACTTAGGTACTTGTTTTACCAATGATCTATTGACTATAAAGTTTATACTTTGTACATTTCTATAAAGATGTGTGTTCAAGTTAGGTTGTGTGTAATATATATTTTGGTTCGAAAATCATTATACCATTATTTATTCTTACTAATGTACAACACCACTTCATTATTGAAATATATTAATTTCTATTAAAAATATTTAGTACATTCTTTATAAAAAAAAATTAGATTTAATTTTTTAATTTGTTGAGACTACTTTAAATAAGTAAATTTAACTGTCACACAATATTTATTTTACCAAAAAATAAAATAAATTTAATACAGTTTGCTTATTACAACTTCACTAATATATTAGTATGCCCTCCGATTTTTACACTTTGGGTGTTGTGGTGCTTGGGTAGCTATCCCCATTTCTCCTAGGTGTATTTGCTCACTACTGCTTTAATTGTGTTTTAATGCTGCATTTCTCTTTTCACCTTGGTTTGATTGTTTGTGTTGGGTTTTGTTGTTTTTTGCTTGTCATGTTCTCGTTTGTGTTCCGTTGGGTGTGACAATAGTCTTGTATTCTCTTGTTTTATTTCTTAGTTTTTCTTAATTGTTGATCTTCTTACCTTTTAGAAGTTTAGGAAAGAAGCAAAAAGAATCTTATCTTGTTCTCGTTTAGAGTAAGTTCATATTGAATATTTCCCTAATAGAAAATTAATCGTAGCAAATATCTAATTGAATATTGTAGTGAAATTATCATTTATCCCTACCCACATTCATTCTATCTCTTTTTATATTATTCTTGTTATACTACATTTTTCTAATATTAATTAGTGTTTTTTTTTCCTTCAAAATGCTTCCTAACATAAAAAAAATCAAATATTGTTGTGACAATACTTAACCATATACATAATTTATCTGCTACTGTTTCTTGCTTGTATATATGAAGGTATGTTGACATTAACATCATATATGTAATTATATATCGTGTATTATTTAAGATGCAAATGTATGATCATTTTCATTATCAATATGAAAAGTTGAAATCTAGAGGCAATAATATTATAATGCAAAATAATGTATTATTAATCCTCATCACGCTTTCCTCTTTATTGACAAAAGCATAGTAAACGACAATAATAATAATAGATGCTTCACATTCACAAAAATTAAAACTTCCTCATGTCAACTTAAAACTTTTATCGCTGCATTTGCTGCTTTGCAAAACGAGAACTATAGTACGTATGCCTATGAAGAACCAATAAAGCAACGTTATCCAAGATCTATCACGGGGCTGCCTAGCAAATATATTATAATGATCACAAAAGAAGAAACACTAACAAATTGAAATATAATATAAATCCAATTTTTATTGTAAACATAATTGAATTACTACAAATATTGACAGCTATTAATTACTGTATAACCAGCTTTACTTCACATGGCTGCTGTCAATATTTACAACCAGTTTTTTGTCTTATCATTTCTTTGTTCTATATAAACCCTCATATTCCTACTATATCAACCACAGCTTAACTGGTTTAATTTAGTGAGGGTGAGATCAATGGAGTCAAAAAGATTCTTATCAACGTCTCTCTTCCTCTCCATCAACCTTATGTTTTTTGCCCTAGTAAGTGGGTGCAATACTTGTGTTCAACCCAAGCCAAACCCTAAACCAAACCCATCTCCTGCAAAGGGAAGTTGCCCTAGAGATGCCCTCAAACTGGGTGTTTGTGCCAAGTTGCTGAGTGGGTCAGTAGGTACGGTGGTTGGGAACCCACCGGATACCCCTTGCTGCTCGGTACTGGAGGGACTACTTGACCTGGAAGCTGCAGTGTGCCTTTGCACAGCCATTAAAGCAAACATCCTTGGCATTAACATTGACATTCCTATTTCCTTGAGCTTGCTTATTAACACCTGTGGCAAGAAGCTTCCTTCTGACTTCCTTTGTGCCTAAACCTTTTTATACATTATATGTTTATCATCTATGTCTGTATTGATATTGCTGCAAATGTTGTCTGTTAATTTCTCATTATTAATGTAACCTCTCTTTCTTCCTTTTATCCTTCTTCTTATTTCTTCTTCTTCTCTCTCTCTCTCTCTCTATATATATATATATATATAATGTATGTTTTTTAACCTTAAGAAATCTTCTTATATACTCCTTCGTCTCTTAAGAAATCTTCTGTGGAAGATTAACCTAACATAAGATTGTTCATTTACGTGGGATAATAAGCCAATTATTATATATGGCATAAGGCAAATTGTTTTCAAATTGCACAGTTGAGATGCAGCAGTAATCTTGTACTCATGAGAATTTTCCTTGAATGGCAGACAAAAATTTGATGTGTATTAATTGATTCAACTTGCCATATCACACGTAATAATTACAGACATATATAACAATTCTATCAAGCATGCTGATTGGTTGTACTTTCATCTCTTTTAGTTAAAAGTTTGATTTCCAATCTTGATGTGTGTGTTATTTTGTGTAATTTTTGTTAAAAATTATATTATCATTAATATACACGTCAAACGTAATTACTAAAATATATATATATTTTAGTTAAAACTTAAATATATGTATATATATATATATTATATTATACCTCTAAGCTGATCCGTAGCTTAAAATATAAATACTAGTGTTTTTCCTAGTGTGGTAGGGTACCGTTCAAACTCGTGAAGGGGTTCTTTATTTGGGCTTTTGATTGAACAACTAGTAAGCAGTCCGTCCATCGCTGTAAGAATTTAAAATTGATACATATTAATTTTTTATTTTTTAGAAAAAAAAGTATATTTAATATGATAACATGTATAACAATTAACTTTTTATTCTTTATAAGATGAAAATAACTTTAATATATTAAAATAAAAGTAATGTGATGATATAGGTAATAATTTTCTATTTATTTAATGTTATAATATATAATAGTTATCTATTTAAATATTTTAAATACAAAAACAAGATTTTTGTACGATTATATTTTTGTATGAATTATTTTAATTAGCTACGGACTATATAATTATATATTAAATAAACTCTTCATAATTTTGTACCCATATAATATAATATTTTTATATTGTTTTATATGATTACAGAAATTATATTTTGTGTTGAGTCTCTGTGCTTTCATCTGCAATCTTCATGCACCTTCTCCCTCTCCTAGTTCGCCACACCTGTAAACTTGAAGCAAGAAGACGAAACAAAGTAAAGAGGGCCTGAAAATGGAACCCTATGATATGTTTTTAAAAGCCCTTTAAAATGACGTCATTGTGGGCTAACAGGAATCCAGCTAAACGACGCCATTTTGGGGTTTTTTATTAAAACGACGTTGTTTTAATGCCCCGTTTAAATCTTAATTTGGGCTAGATGGGCGGTGCTTTCGGCTTTCTCTGGATTGGGCCTTGCATCTGGGCTAGACAGACGTCTTGCGTCCCCGCCTGATCTCTTTTTTCTTTTCCATTTTTTTTAATCCTTTCCTTCTTTTTCTTTTTTATTTGCCTTCTCTTTCTTTTCTTTTTTTTTTATTCTTAATTATTTTTCATTTGTTATTTTCTCTAGCCACCTAACTTTATTTCATGGAAAAAGTATGATAATGATAATAATGACATTATTAATTCTTATAATATTTATCATAATAATAATAATAATAATAAATAACATTTCTTATAAGGTAACTTTCATTCGTATTTCTTCGAGCACAATTTGTTAATTTATTAATGTATCAAATTTATTTTTCACTTGGATTTTCTCGAATGCTACAATCCTTAAAAATTTTCTCAATTTGACTTTGAAATTGTATGACTTCTTAATGTGATAAGAAATAAAATACAAATTTAGTGTCATTTAATATCAAAATATATCTCTGTGTTATGAGAAGTATTCTATTAGATCACTTATAGTAATATTATACATATTTAGAGAAGTGATTCTTAAAATCTTATTTACTAATATATTAAACACAACTTTCTGGAAAATGATTATTTTTTTAAAAAAATCCTTCCCTATAATATCTTAATTTTAAACATAGATAAAATAAAAAAAATGGAAAATCAAAATTTCTTTTCTAAAGTAATTTTCAAGAAAAAACACATTTTTCAAAAGGATTTCTATGAGTCAAAAATTAAAAGGAATTCTTTTAAATCATTAATAATGAGTTACCTAATTTATATTAAAGATGTACATATTTTGTATAAGATTTACGCTTATTCTTCAATTTGTTTCTCTTCTTATTAATGCCTTTACGACCTTTCACAATTTATTTTACAATTATCTTAAAAACATAATTAGTATCATTAGCACGAAAATAAGTTTATATACGATCCACCAAAATCACATAACTAATTTATCTTATTTATGATCTATATATTACAATTAACTTTTAAAACTATGAACCATGTAATAAAAGAAACTCCTTTTCGTACTTAATTTTCAGATATTTGTATCTTCTTCTTCTTTTTTTTTTTTTTTTAATTTTGTTTTGTCTAAAATGAGAGTTCAAATACTGAATCAAATTTTATTTATTTTATTATTGTTTCCATCTTGATAATTCTCAATTTTAAATCTGAATCAAATAATAAACTTAACTTAAATTAACCAATTGGTTAATTCAATTAGATATATTGATGTATATCGCTTCTTCAACAAATAATTACCAAACTGTACTTTAATTTATGTCTGTAGTTAGAAGCTATTTTTAATTGTACTGTAATTAGTATATGTGAAACACTTAATAATAAAAAATATAAAGTTAATTAGAAATAGTGAGATAAAAATTTCAAAGTTAATCATTCAAATTGAAACCAAAAGTAACAAATCTAATGGCAACGCCTTTATGATTGAAACTATTAGTTTGGGTACGTAATGGGAAAGTGAAGTTAATGTAGAATATGTTGCATTGAAACTTTAAGTGAAGCTCGTTAATGGTTACCACCTTCAACTCACCCCAAAAGACACTAAAAGCTCCTTGCACTTGCATGGATAAAATGTTGCCATGCACAAGTGTGAAGCGGAAAATCGGGTATATATTTATGTAATTATGTATGTGTACAAACTGATTAAATTATACACAAGAAGAAGGTCCTTCGATGATTAAATCTCACCTATAAAATATATTGCAATAAGTGTTATGCGGAAACTAGTTAGTCTAAATTGAATTTCAATTGCGAAAACATGACATTAATCTATAATAAGTTGATGAGTATACAAAGATGTGTGAAGCGAAAACTCGACTTTTCTTGCTATCGTTAGTATTAATTTCTTTTTTCATCTTTATCTCTCTTTTTTAATTTTTAAATGCAATTTGTTATAACATAATGTATATATCTCCATATATGTGAAGTGAAAACTCGAGGCTTTGCTTGGTTCATCTACATTATATATATATATATGATTAATACTAATTTCTTTTTCCATCTCTCTCTCTCTCTCTCTCTCTTTTATTTTTTTAAATACAATTTGTTATAACATAATGTATATATCTCCGTATATGTGAAGTGAAAAATCGAGGGTTTGCTTGGTTCATATACATTATATATATATGCAGATCAAATTTTATGGAATTATCTATTTATTTCAACTTCATGTAATCTCATATATATATATATATATATATATATATGCAACGCATGAGAGTGAAATTGCTTTTTTTTTTTTTTTTTTTTTTTTTCCTCACTTCTTTCTCTTTCGCAATTTCTTTATTTTCTTTTTCCATATTAATTAATTTTATAAGGACCAAAAGAAAATTTAATTATGAATTGACACTCAGTCTTAATGTAATTAAAAAACTGAAAAAGTAGGTGTTCCTCTTTTTCTACAACTTTCTCTTTCATTCATTATCATACAAGTGTGATGTGAAAATTCGATTCTTTACCTTGTTATTATACATATTAAAATTTTAAAGTTCTTTAATTTCAAATCGAAATAATATATTTTTTTAAATTTGTGAATTGAAAACTCGATTGAAATTACACTTCAATTTCCTCTTCTATTTTCCATTTTTAAATTATTTTTTATTTTTGTTATATTAAAGCAATTAATTTATACATTGCCTTTAAGATTATATTTAGAAAAAAATGCATCAGTTTAATTAAGAAAAATATAAAAATTTTACTACAAAAATAAAAAATAACCTTGTATAAAAACATAAACTTAATTTAACCAAACTTTTTGATGTAAAATAATTATATATACTCATCTACAGACTGATATTTTAATTAATGATTTTCACATGTTTGTGAAGAGAAAGAGGAGTTTTGATGGTGCAGAATAGCACAGATTCTTGAAATTAAGGTCATGGTTTCCACTTCTGACTGCCAGCTTCTCCCAACCAAGTCTCTTCTCTTATGCCATATGCATAAATATCTTCTTGAAACAACATTGCTAATGTCAATCAACCCCCCACAATTATTGTATATATTGCAAAAAGTCTACTTTTACCTTTAATTTCTCTCTAGAATTTCTGTGGGACAAATTATATATATATATATATATATATATATACAAACACACATAAAGAGGATTTAAGGGTTGACCATCCCACATCAACATACAAATTGGATTCCTCATAAACGAAATGTGTTGGCAGCCCCTCCAGCCTACGTTGTTCCCCAGTTAATTACTTCTCTTTTAGTCATATATATATATATATATACAAGGACACCATAACTTTTTTTAGTTTGTAAATTAGTAATTCACTTAAATAATTATATATAATTACTTCTCTTGAGTTCAATTTTTGTAAATAATTATTTTTTTAAATAGATTAAGCCTCGTTCATTTAAAATTATTAAATTCGTTTCAATCTAAAATTATTTTTATCCTGAAAATTAAAAAAAAAATAAAAATTAATTAGTTAATTAACACCTTGCATATATATTCGAGCATGAGTATATAATTAATTTTCTGATTGAATATTCCTGGAATCAATAAATTAATAATTTAATTTGATTTTCGATGGATCACAATTAACGCGATGCTGTGAAAGAATCTTGCACGGGATACAGATTTTATCCTGACAAAATGTGTTGGCATGCTGCACCCTCCTCTACCCAACAACAAATATCATCCTACTTATATATATATATATATATATAATCGTGATGAATATTCATGAAATCACAAACTATGATTGATCGGGTTTGTCAATTACAGATTATATTAATCTTTTCTTTTTTGAAAAGTAAAGCATGTACAGATGTATATATATATATATATATATATTAATATATCTTTATTTTTTAAATTAGTCCTTGTGCATTAACAATTTCAAATTTTGTTGGCCTTCAAATAATTACTTCCCCAGTTAAGACTTCCCCTTAGACTTGAGAAACACACTTTCCCTATCTTTTCGTAAACCATTAATCTTTTTTTTTTTAAAAAAAATAAAATTGAAAAACATAATTTTCACTAATAAAATACATATTAAATATATAATTCAATTTAAATCCATATTCTCTCCATTTAATAAAAAAATATTAATCTTATATTATATTTCCTATTTAATTATATTCATGGATTTATTAATGTTGATTAATTAATTTTTAAAAGGTATTTAAACTGTTCCCTTGTCGGCTCCAAAACTTCAAACTATTTTCCCTCAACTAGAATCAATTATTATAATTAAGAAAAGCTAATAAGGAGTTAAGTTTGCTTAAGGGGATATAATTGTGGGTCGACATTAAAAATTAATTATGAGGAAAAAAAAAAATAAAAAACGATAAGCACGTCCATGGGTGCAAGTGCCACGTCGGAAATTGACCAAGAATGAGGTCGTCTTATGTGATGCGTGGCCTGTGATGTAATCGTGGATTGCTCAATTATATATAAAAACATTTACGTACTAATTTACATACAAACATTTACATATATATATATATATATATGATATACACACGCACACACATGTACATATATAGACACCCTCTGTGCTCTTATGTTAATGTGAGAGTTTGTATTTGTGCCTCCCTAGCATAAATTTTAATTCCATTTGTAGCTATTCATCTATAACTTATCAATCCAAACCACATTTTCAAAAAAATTATATGTATGTAGGTGTATGTAACGATATACAAGCATACGTGTAGTGATGTAAGTATGGATAGAACATAAGACGAAGCCTATTCTTCTAATGTTATAATACATATATAAAAAACTTTATCGTAATTTTTAAAGGGTGCCAAGTTGGTAATATATTACACGTGGATGGGAGTGTGTGTATCTCTCTCCTCTATTATAAGTCAGAAATTAATGAAGCTAGTCTTTGTTTTTTAATTGATTTAAGCGCTATTATTGAGCCATTTGTCATGTCTTGCCTGGTCAACTTATGGCTTTTGGGATTCATGAAAGAATACTGGGAGGATTCTATATTCATATTTATAAATGTTTTATACCATCTTCTCTCATGATTCATTAGAATATTCATGCATCCTTCTCTCAGATATAATTATATATATAGCATATATGTATGTATAGACATATGGGGTTAGTCATATTATAAGTAAGCACATATCTTTACAAACCATCCTTTTATATAGCGTCATTATATTGTATTATATTATATTTTTCCTCAAAAGTCATTACCTTTGTATTAGCTGGTCCCCTTGCCCGTTTACCTCTTTTTCAATTTCGGATCTACATCACATGATATTTATAGATAAGATGCACGCACGAGATGTTATTAATGTAGGACTAATTAACATCAATACATGAATAATTCTGATCACTTGGGTTTAAATGGTTAATTAGCTAACTAGCTTTAAAAGTTTATGTATATAGATTCCCTAGAGTTATTTATATATATATATATATATATATATATATGAGGCCATTTTTGAGAAGACACATTGCCTAATTCTCTAAAGTTATTGATTCTGTATAAAGTCAGAATTTTCATGAATCCTTAATATTTTTATTTAATAAAAAAAAATGGAATATCCACCGTCCGAATTGAACCCCACATTGATGACCCCTACAATCTCAGCCTTTTCCAAAATTTATTTCTATATAATATTGTAGGGAGTCAACTCCCTAAGAAGCCACCAATACTTACACAGCTGATTATACATATATGTATTCCTTCAACATGAAGATAAATGAGTGGTGCAAATTAATTCCCTATTGAACCATATATTATACAATCTTAAATTTGTTATCAATTACCAACAATTGTTTTCGGGGTTGCTGATACTTCCACCATTTTTTATTAGAATATAGATTTAAATTATGATTTTTATATTCTATATACATTTTCGTAAATAAATTATGTGACACGAATTCTTACTAGGTTATTATATGATCATATTGTTTTCCATGTACTATCAATTGTGAATTCACTAAAAAAAAAAATTATTATTATTAAGTGTTCAATGTTTGAGTAACCCATTTTTCCTTCAAGAGCCATTTCAAACAACAATTCTCATACAAGTTCACCTCTTTCCAACTCCAATGTCTTTATATTAGTTTTTTTATAGATTAAAGGAGAATAAAAAAAAAATCATTTTCATATAACTTCCCTTTCGGTATGCAAAAGGCTAGAAGAATAATTTGCTTCATATATTATTAACTTTTATTTAAATTAAAATTGTTAGGTTCATTTTAATTAAATCGATTTTTTTTTAGAAAAAGTTTCAATTTAATTCATTCTATTAACCATTTATTACTGTGTTAAATTTAATAATAAATAACATCTTTTAACTGATTTGTATTTTAATTTAATATTACATTTAGTGTTACATAACATGTGATGTATTAACTAGCTAAATGAAATTAATCGGTTAATCATTCTTTCGTTTTCATTCTCTTGTAACTATTCAGCCACTGTTTTTCCATGGATTGTGCAGTAGAGAATGGCTCCTCCTTCTCGTCTTCCTCCACCTCCCTCGGCATCTATCTCAGACATTTATGCCCCTTCTAGTGGCGGTTGCCAGAGTGACATGTTCTGCTATTGCCTTTGTCGTCTTTGTTGGCAATAACAATCCTTCCGTTACTGCCTCCGGTAATAATTCTCTCCTTTTCAATTCCCAGCCGACAATTTTCCTTTCTTTTTCTTTAAAAGAAAAAAAAAAACAACTTGAGGAAAAGAAAAGTTCAATATTCAACGTGCGAAAAGAAAAGCTATATTGTATGTATATGTATATATTTATATATGTTGTTGTGCTGTTGTATAAGTTATCAATTTCATCTGCATTAGTTCATATAAAGGACATAATAAGAAACCATCAACGTAGTTTTTCACAGAGGGGGCTGCAGCCCGGCCAAAAATATAAAAATATTATTGGTTGATTGATCATTTTCAACTCTAGTGACGTATTTGTGGCCAAAATAATATGTTAGCTTCCCACCATTAATTTGATCTTATTTCCATCCAAGAGAAAAAACATAATTTGTTTTCGTTTTGGCGTATTAAATCTTATATAAATTTTTTTCCTCCTCTTGGTAAATTCACAAAACATATGGGCCAAGAATCATGTGATACTCTTTCATGAAATAGATTACTTGTTATATATATATATATGTGTGTGTGTGTGTGTGGATTCATGAATGAAGGATAAAAGATGAAAGCTCTTCATTTTTCTGGATGGTAGATGAGAATTCGAGGCTCTATACATACAGACTCCACTTTAGGAAACTATTCATCACTCATCACGTGAGTTAGGTTGCACCCTCTCTTTCTTCCCCCACCCGCAAAAAAAAAAAAAAAAAAAAAGATATTGTAAAGTATGTCAAATAATCTATATTCTTTAAAAAAACTTATAATGTATGTATAAGTATATAATATTATATATATATATATATACACAGTGAAATAATTGATTAGGTTAAGAACAAGAGCTCTTCCATCGAGGAAGGAAAAAAGTAAGTAAAAAAAGGCAATTAATCATGAATAACGTAGAAAGTTCATGGAATGAAGGATCACCACCCCTTTTTGGTATAATTAATGTTCCAAGGCAATTAAGATTCATAGAATCCTACCATTAAAATTATATAATAAAAAAATCACTACATATTACACCACCAACTTTCTGCTCATGACTTCTTTACTAGTTACAAGAAATTTGATCCTATGGTGCTTATGGCGCAGCTATTTTGGACCATACAAATTTCCTTTCAACTTCTTAACATTATTTTTTCCATTCACAATCAGGATATTGTTGCCTTTTGTTTACAAATATCAAAGAAATTAAATATGAAAAATTTGTCTACTTACACATTTTTTCACCGTAATAAATTATATATGTATAATTAGATAGTTAAGAATGGAAGTAAAATACCCCTTACATATGTATATACAACGGGTACCCTAGCTTCTAATTATTCAGTTTCATTTGAACTCATTGAATACTTGGAAGTAATTATTTATGTATAAATTATAAAATAATGACAGAGAAGTACGATAATTAGGCGGAAAGACAACGTGGGTTTAGTTAGTTAACCAAACATCGAACTCAACCATGGTTCCAACGGGGGAGGAAGTAGTAACTAAAGTCGACTGAATCAGACAAAACCTGTACAGGTGTCACCCTTCTCCTCAATATCTTAATCACGAACTCTCCCATCTCCGTTTCTCACTATAAAAACCCCCTCCCACCATCCATTTCTGCCACTCACTTCTTCCTCTCCATTAATTCTCCTGAACTAAATCAGCTCTACCTATATTTCTGGTTGTGACTAATATGGATCTTCCTCAAACGCAAGGCAAAACGCTCCCCGATGCCTGGGACTATAAGGGTCGGCCGGCGGAGCGGGCCCATACTGGTGGCTGGACTAGCTCTGCTATGATCCTAGGTCACCTTCTCATCTTACTTATGACCTCGCCTTCCTCGTCTCTTAATTTCCACGACGTTACTTAACATGTTTGCATGTACTATCAGGTGTTGAGGCTGTTGAGAGGTTGACAACGTTGGGTATTGCCGTAAATTTGGTGACTTACTTGACGGGGACCATGCATTTGGACAATGCTACCTCCGCCAACACTGTCACCAACTTCCTCGGCACCACTTTCATGCTTTGTCTGCTCGGTGGATTCGTTGCCGACACTTTCCTCGGCAGGTCTGCTTCTTATTACTCGTATATACAATTTCTTTCTGCTCTTCATTAGCTGCTTAGTTAACTAATTAGCTTTTACCATATTTGACAGGTACCTTACTATTGCCATCTTCGTCACTGTGCAAGCAATGGTAAGCAACAATGGATCCGTCTCATTAAATACCATAGATTAGTCTTTTCTTTTTCCATTTTTGACACATGGTGATGATCAGGGTGTAACAATCTTGACTATCTCTACCATTATCCCAAGCCTCAAACCACCAAAATGCAACATGGAAACGGGGTCCTCCTGTATCCAAGCAAGCGGCAAACAGCTTACTGTTCTATACTTGGCACTGTACCTTATTGCGCTGGGTACCGGGGGTCTGAAATCCAGCGTGTCCGGATTCGGTTCGGACCAGTTCGATGACTCGGATCCCAAAGAGCGAACTCACATGACCAATTTCTTTAACTGGTTCTTCTTCTTGATAAGCATAGGGTCTTTGGGTGCAGTTACAATCCTGGTTTACATACAAGACAACTTGGGGCGTGAATGGGGGTACGGTATATGCGCTTGTGCTATTGTGATAGGATTGCTTGTGTTCCTTTCTGGCACGAGACGATACCGTTTTAAGAAACTGGTGGGAAGCCCCATAACCCAAATAGCCACCGTGTTCGTGGCTGCGTGGAGGAAAAGGAATGAGGAACTGCCAGCGGATACATCGTTGCTGTATAATATTGATGATGCTGAAAATGTTGGAAAGAAGAAGAAGCAAAAATTGCCACATACAGATCAGTTCCGGTTAGTGTCCTTCTCAATCTCTTTCATTTAACTACACGCTTCTTAATTTTTTCTTTTAAGTAATTGAGTCAAATATTTTGAAAAAAAAAATAAATAAAAAAATAGAAAATTTCAACAAATATCAAGTAAAGGTTAAAGCATATACTAAGAAAAGACAAGAGGGTCAGATGGAACAAAATAGTAAAAATTTTGTCAGTACGTGCAGAGGACCAGTAAGTTGCAACTTGAAGTTTTTTTTTTGGCTTTAGTTCATTTAGGAAAGGTCATTAATGCAAATATCAATATCATTACTGTAAATATGGAGGTTAATTGCGATTATAATAAAGGGGGGAAGTGAAATAATTATCAGCAGAAGAAATACCCTTTACCTGTTTTAAGGAGATGAGAAATCCGCATTGGTAACTATAATTTGAAAGAAAAGTATAACTACACCTACCCATCTACATGAATGGGAGAACCTTGAATTATATATATGGAAGAAAACAAAATTAAAAAAGAAGTAATAAATTAATTATTCAATTCAAGTAATTGTAGAAATAGTTACTTATATATAAATAGAATATGGATCTGATGAATTCCATGGGAATTAAATGTAAGAGCAGGTGAAGACAATAAAAATGATGTATGCTGAGTTAATGAGCAGTTGGTGGGGCATGTGTCTCAGCCGACCTGGTACAAAGGATCCAATCAAGAACACACATATTGGTTTTAAGTTAGGGTGTCTGATAGTTCGCCTAATTCAAACAGTTTGCTGCCATAACCTTATCTGCATTCTCTGCCTTACAACTTATTATTATTATTATTATTTAGCATCATCCATGTCTACACCATGAATAAAGAAATTAGTTCATGCTGGTACAAAACTAGACAAAATTATTAATTAAGCTCCATAAAATTCATTATTTCTGAATCTCTCCGTATATTTTATGACCACCTATATGTATATGGATATATATATATATATATATAACCAATAATCCTTTTTTTTTTTCAGAAAATAAAGGAAAAAGTGAGCTAATTAAGGGACAAATAATTTTAAGTATTAAGTTAGAAGAGGAATCAAAAGGAGGTCACGAGACAGTGATGAGTTAATTAGTCAGTTTGTCTCGTGATCTAGGCTCACGCTTCTCGTATTAAACCCATATATTTATATATATATATATATATATGTATACATACATGTCCACTTTATACGCCTCTCTCAGCCTCTGCCTTTCCATCCATCCATACCCACACGCAAATCTATCTGCTGATACCAATTAACTTGATTTTCTTTCTTTGAAATTTAAAGACGTGTGTCATTGAAAATTTACATATAATCATGTTATAATATGGTCCACCAACATCTAATCTGGTGGGTCCAACGGTATAATATTAGTTGTCTCTTCTGTATATAGTATCTGCACATTACATAAGATATGAAAAGATATTTAATCCATTATTGGATCTTTTAATTTCTCAATTAATTAGTCAAGTGATAGAAAACAATCAGTCATTTTTTCTGACTGGTCCATATTTTTCTTTCGTCTGTCTTGTATCTTGTTCACTTCAGAAAAGGTTATAAGAAAAATGAAAAGGAAAGAATATGTGGTATATAATTGGTGGATACATGTATACATATATACATACATATACTTTTTGAATTAATTGGGTGTATACTTGCGTATATATATGTGCAGTTTCTTGGACAAGGCAGCAATCAAGGGACAAGACACGAGATTGGAAAACAAGTGGAGTCTATCCACATTAACAGATGTAGAAGAAGTTAAACAAGTGATCAGGATGTTGCCAATCTGGGCAACCACCATTATCTTTTGGACTGTCTACGCCCAATGCGTCACCTTCTCTGTCTCGCAAGCTACAACAATGGATCGTCACATTGGCAAATCCTTTCAAATCCCACCAGCTGCCTTAACCGGATTCTTCGTCATCAGCACTCTAGTCACTGTTCCTGTTTACGACCGACTCATGGTCCCCGTCGCAAGAAAGGTTCTCAAAAATCCCCATGGCCTAACCCCATTGCAGCGAATTGGTATAGGTCTCGTCTTCTCAATCATTGCAATGGCAGCAGCAGCTCTGATTGAAATCAAGCGACTCAGAACCGCACGATTACATGATCTCTTGGACAATCAAGAGGCTGAGATTCCAATGAGCGTGTTCTGGCTGGTGCCCACCTTTTTCTTTGTGGGGTCGGGTGAGGCCTTTACTTATATAGGCCAGCTTGATTTCTTCCTAAGGGAGTGTCCTAAAGGAATGAAGACCATGAGCACAGGGTTGTTTCTGAGTACCATTTCATTAGGGTTTTTTGTTAGTTCTTTGTTGGTGAGTATAGTACATAAGCTAACGGGTAGCCACCCATGGCTAGCCGATAACCTAAACAGAGGGAGACTCTATGACTTCTACTGGTTGCTCGCCAGCTTGAGCGCATTGAACTTTGCCGTATTTTTGGTGTGTGCTAAATGGTATGTTTATAAAGAAAAGAGACTTCTTGCGGAGGGGATCGAGTTGGAGGAAGCAGACGTTGGTTTCCATGCATGATCCATCGATATTATGCAGCTTTTAACTTCAAGCATATATCTAGCTGATCATCATCAATGACGTCGTATGGTGTTTTGAGTTTCCTTTTTGTTTTGCTTTTTTTTTTCTTTTTTTATAAATGGTTAATATTGTTGCAATTTTAACTTGTTGATATCTTGTACAAAAGAAAATTATATATAGAACCACGAAGCTGCAAAAAAGGAACAAAAGGAATCATCGGGCTTTGGTGTAGCAAAGAATTTGCAATGCTACAGTTGCATGTACAATTACAGAAAATAATAATCAAGTTGATGCATAAGTATATATACATCTATTTCTGTTCGGTACAAAGAAAAGAAAAGGTCATGTCGCGGCAGATTTTTAGAGGACACTAGCTTTCCCGACAGTATTTGAAAACCGCAGCGGATATTCACGATAATTAATCATAACCTTCTAAGAACAACCTAATTTCCTTCTATTCCCTCCCTCCCTCCCTTCTCGCCTTTTCTACAACTTTGCCTCCCAGCCAATTATAGCTCCACCTTGCAACACAGCTTTGCGTCCTTATCCGATAGACATTTAAGTAAGGAAAAACTTGAAAGTTACCTAATATGCACCCCATGTATGCCGACCAATTTTCAATTACCAGATATGTTAACTAAATGGATAAGTAATCTAGCATCTCAAACTCTTATTGACAAGCTAGAAATAGTCAACATTTATTCTTGAGCTTGAGGGAGAATGTTATGGAGAGAGCAAATTAGGTTAATGAGTATAAGAGTAAATTATACAATTTATAATTAATTGTAATTAATTAATTATTTTATTTTCATTCTAAAAATATGTATATATAATACTGTAATGTTTAATGAAATAAACGATGAAGCCATTCTTAATATATATATATATATATATATGTGTGAGTAAAACTCACATATTAAAATTAACTAATTTTAGCACAGGATTATCTATGCGAAAAACTATTCATTAAAACAAAAAAAAAGGTGAATAATGATTACGATTAACTTATTCTCACAGTATAGACACATAAATTTTTCACTTGATTCTAAAATCTTCTAAATTTCTTTTTATCTATAATAGTTCATATATTTCTTGTGTTATTACCCAAAACTCTAATAATGCACTTAATTTTACAACTACATCTCATTTTTTATATTTTTTTCAAGAGACTAGATTGCCACCAAAGAAGGTACACTAGTCTATAATTGATCTTCTGTCACAAATGATCTATATTTTTCTTAAATATAATTCATTTTCACAGTGACCTTTTTAAATATTGTAGTATTTTGTATGTTGCTTGTAAATATATTTCTTTCAAATTGTGTATGAATTGACTTATAACATTTATTGAAAAGCTGGTCTCTGATCTCATGTGGGATAGCTAGATTAATCACCTAACTAATTTATTGCACCTTTTCTTATTTACTAGTATCTTCATATATTATTCTTAATTTGTAACTAGGACCAATAGAGTTGCTACCTGGTTTACATGCTAGCTTACTCGTGTTTCTAACATCTCATAAATGTATTTCTGTAAAAAAAGAAAAAAAATCATATATTTGGAGTTGACAACTTCAATTTGCAAAAAGTACTTCAGTTTGGCTAGTTATTTGATTTTAAATTTTTTTGTCAAATACTATTTTTAGTATTAGTTGTTCGTTTTTATTATTTCTTGTTATAGTAATGTCACCAATGTATACTAAAAGAGCTGTAACTTCTTATGTCGTTTGAGTGTTTAATGAAAAAAGTGTGCTCTTCTTGAGTCTATTTTAATCTCAAATTTATCATCACTCTTATGAACCTGATAAATCATGCTTTTGATTACTGTTTGTGTAATATCTGATTCTCAATAGAAGGATATGTAAATAAATAAATTAAATTAGAACTTAAGGTTTAAATGAAAGAAATTTTAAAAATTAGGGAGTTTTTATAAATTTTAAGGACATAAATGAAAATGTATAAGAAAAGGGGTCAAATGCATAATTAAATAAGAATGAAAGGGGGTAAATAGAAATCAGGAAATGGACGCTTAAGATCGCACCGTCTGAGAGATCTGACGGCTTGAAATCACATCCAGATGAAAGACCAAGATTGAATCTTGCAAGATTAGATGGTTAGAGAAATTGGTATTTAAAGAAACAAATTAAGGTTTTTCTCTTCATTCAGCAAATGAGAGTAAAAATTGAGAGAGGAGGAGAGATGAGTCAAGCAGATGAGAAAGGAGGCCGAGTTGAGTGAGGGTCGGGCCGAGGAAGAGAAGATAACACCACGCGAGAGAGAGAGACAAGCAAGGAAACTAGAAAGAGAGAAGGAACTGCGATCGAAGAAGAATGAGGAGGTATCGCGGAGGCAGAAGGCCGAAGGAAAGAAAGGGAAAAGGAAAGGGAACTGCGACCGAGAAACGCTATTGTAATATCCACCTGAGAAAAAAAATGTAAATAAAATTTGGAGTTTGGATATAAATGAAAGAAATTTTTAAAAAGGGTAAAAACATAAATAAATGAAAATGAAAGGGGGTAAAGAAAATCAAGAAAATAGACAAC